TTGTTGTAGTAATCTGAGCTGGAACATCAAAAAGCACAATAGTGAATAAAATACTTTGAATCACAAGCAATATTCAAAGACGGTTAGTGGCATTAATTCCACACTTAACCTTTCTGAACAGGCAAACTGAATAATACCCTTTTGCCTTTTTTGTAAGGTGTGATTGTTTTACAAAACCTAAATAAAATCACTCCTCCCTTTACAACTACAAAAGTGGAAGCACAAACAATTATGTCTAAGAAAGTATCAGGAAGGTAACTTTAAGGTAATGTTTTTTCAGTGTCACAGAATCTGTCCACATGATCCAGTGGCACACCTGACTAAACCTGTAATTCTGCTTTGATATCTTCCCTGTTGTGTTGCAGGCTGTTTGAGATAAGAGTTAATGGAACATTCTTTAAATTAATATAGCAGCCATAGCTCAGTGGTACATTAATTCATATATATATATATATATTTTAATAGGTGGATTAGTAAACGGACAAGACTGTATGAGGTGGATGTTACCTGTTGAACTGTTGGTGAACCCTGTTGAATTTGTAGTCGTTATTTGAGCTAGAATGTAAAAAGTACAGTTAGTTAATCTACTCCAAGAAAACACATGAAGATTTTTCCCGATATGCTTGCCAAACTTGATCATCCACAGCAGAACTCAGACATGCTTAGAACGAATGTTTAATTAAAGCTGGGTGGATGGAATTGGAGGTGTTTACTCTAAAACAATGAATACATGTCCCTGTCACACAGTGCTTTGAATTTCTGAAAACAGACAAGACTTTGGAACGATTATTTCTGTACATTTCAGTTGTCTTTTTGGTGCATTTCCAAAGTGAATAAAAACAATTAAAAATTGCAGCACAATCAACCTTCCCAAGCGCTGCCTCACGAGTTCCTACGTTAAAACCACCTACAAATCTATATATATATATACATACACATATATATATATATACACACACATATATATACATATATACACACATATATACATATATATATATACACACATATATACATATATATATATATACACACATATATACATATATATATATATACACACATATATACATATATA